TTACACAATTTTAAAATATTAATTTGAAGTAATTGTCCAACTCAGGCCTTATGACTTATATTTCTTCATAAATAGCGAAATAATGTTTTGAAATAAAAAAATCTTTGGTAAATCGATAGATATTGACAAAAAATATGTTATACAAGGTCAAACGAAGACATACATTATAATAATATGGATGGCACAGTTTTTGCGGTTTGTGGGAGTTATAGTAGGCATCGCCAGATCAAACCTCACGTCAAGCTGCAGTGCATCTCCAAAATAAATACTCTTAAGCATATCTTTTATAGTTTTTGGGCGTTAAAGTGGACGTGGCCAGATGGTGTAAAAATAAGACGCATTTGGGGCATCATTAGGAACTACATATATCTAAACATTCTAACACTTATAGTTACCGAGATATAAGCCTTTCTACAAAATAAGGAAAAAGTCTTTCGATCTTGATGGGCGTACGAGAGGGCGTGGCCGTATAATAGTACAACCATAAGATGCGCTGGCATCTTTAGATTATACATACTAATCCCAACTTTCTTGCTCTAATAGTTCCTGATATTTCTGCGGTTTCAATTTTCCCTGATTTATGGGCGTTATATTGGCCGTGGCTGGTTGCTGAAATAAATTTGCGCTGCGTTAGGAACTTAAGAATCTACATGCTTTATCTCTAATCTGTATCTCTTACTGTTCACCAGTTACTTCGCTATTGATACTGATCATGAATATATTTACTTTACAGGGTCGGAAACAGTAGAATACTACCTGTTACATACTTTTAAACGAATCAAATATACCCTTTTACTCTACGTGTAACGGATACAATAGTAGGGAATAAAAAGTCAGTAACTAAACGAACTCTCTATCGCAAGCATTACCTTGCCTTTTCGCTTTCGTCGTCGCCGGAATAAAAAAATAAACCCCTTTAACTCACAAGATTTGGTGTAAAGAAGGGAGCGCAACCTGATTAAAGCTTTTCACTTAGTAGCCCGTCGCGAAATTATATGAAATATGATCATATAATAATATGAAACAAATGAGTTACAAAAAACTTCCTTTCGAATGCAATTTCGATCGCCAAGTGTTAAAATTGTTTATACTGTTTATTTTCCAGTTTTTGCGTTTCAATTTAAAATTATATATTTTTTCTATATTTTTAATTTTTATGGTGACCCCGACGTGATTTGCAGGAGGATCGAATCGACCAACCAGGTATAAAAGGTTCAATGTTGAAAGTTAATCTATGGAGTCCTGTAAATTAAGTTTTTGTCCCCTATTTAAAATTTGCATTCGTGTAAAAGAAACCGGAAGATAGTGAGCACTGTAACCAAAAATTGTAATATAAAAAATGGCATGCACTAAAAATTAATTCTCATATAAATATTTATATACATGTATTTATATACAGCCGAATAAATATTTTAATAAAAAAGAAATCGTCTTTGATCGTTTAAACATATACTCTCAGTTGCATTAAATAGTGCGAAAAAATCCCCTAACCTTTTTCATAGTGAGCACCAATTTAGGGTTCATATTCAAGGCAGCAAAAAGAGATTTATTTTTGTTATAATAAATTAATCACTTTTTCCTGTCCTGAATTTTAACCCGTTTCCTAAAAAAATTGTGGTACGTTCTTGCCCGCATTTTCCTTCCGAAAGTTTCTGCACTTTTCCGCTATTTTCCCAAGCTTTATTTTCCGCATGAATAACGAATTCTTTCAAGCTATTTCACAAATCCCCTACGGTACAAACGTTTGGAATAACCCACTCTTTGTTTTAATTATTATAACAAAATACGATTTTTAAGAAATAACGGGTTTTTCTTATCTTTCTTTTATAACAAACCCTAATAAATAATATTATATAAACATAATAGCGAAAGGACTCTGGCAGCAATGCCATATATCGTTATTCCCCTGATTGATGTTTTGGATTGCATTGGATAAATCCCATCCTTCGACGCTGTCCGTTTTCGTCTCGAACCGAGTAGCGCAAGTCCAAGAGTGGTCGGAGAAAGCAATTTAGCAACACGTCCCTATGAATGCAAGCCAACGGATATAGTGTCTCGAGTTTGTGATATTGAAGGGCTCGTAACGTCCATTTGGCTTGCTGGGCTATCATTTTAAATTTACTCAGAATGTAATTGGTCTGTAAGTTCACACTTCGAACCACCCTAAGAAGTTTTGTCGATCGAATTACGGAAGTCGGGGTTAACTGTTATTGCTACAACAGAGCCTTTTTGACTTCTTCAGAAAATAGAGTCCTTTTCGCGGAAAGAAAAAAGTATTACGCCAAGAGAACTGAATTTTACATTCGAGAAGATTGTTGCAGTTATATAATCTCACGAATTCGGTGAAAGATATGGCAAAATTCGAAAGCAGAGACCTATGTCAACGAATATTCAGAAGCAAAATCCCCTTTTCAGGAAAATAAATTAGCTTGGTGTGTGATTTATGTGTCACGTTACAAATTTCCAAGCTGGTTTTCGAGCTCTCATTAGGTCTCCTGGCCAGCGTGGAGGCGGTTCTAAGCTCGAGGCCCATCGAAGCGCTAAGCGGCGACCCCAGCGCCGGTAAGGCTCTACACCCCAGGCATCTCCTGAACAGTGGCACACCATCGAAGGCAGTGGAGCAGTGATAGATGGCGTGTGTAAGGGCAATGCACGTCGACGCTGACTCAAAGGTCCCAGTGAAGATAGCAGAGGCCACATACCGGCTCTTAGAATAAAAGGTTATATTAGATTCCTTGAAAAGTATGTCTAAGGTAGAAGGAAGACTTTCCGACCCTATAAAGTTTATATAATATATTCTTAATCAGTTCAGTAGCGAATTCGATTAAGCAATGTTCGTCTGTCCGTCTGTCCATATGAACGCTGAGATTTCAGGAGCTATAATAGATACACAGCTGAGATTATTCAGGCATATCTCCGAGGATTTTAAATGAATAATTCCTGTAAATCACAAGCTTAGCGTTGTCAATATAAACTAATATTGAATATCGACTTACAAAAATTTTAAATCAGAACATGATTTCACCATTTATTGGTTTAGTAAAGTTTGGTGGAAAGAGTTGGACGATTGTAATAAGTTACTACACTTTTTGACGTCTCAAGAATAAGGATCACCTGTTGTGTCATCATTTTTATTTTTCTTGAAGAATTTGGCTATTAGTTTTCAACTGTTTGAGGTGGATATCGGATTAAATTTTTTACTTTTTTCTGCCATAGACACATCAACCAAGCAGGCAGAGGTATATATAAAACTTATAATTGCAAACGTGCCAAAAATAATAATGAAAATTTTAGAACGCACATTCTCCACAGTCATAAATTTGGAAAAGAAGAAATGAAAACACCGCGTCCATAAGATGTGTTCTTTTATTGAAAAACTTCGAAATTCATAATCAAAGCCTAAAATAATATAAATATATACGGAACGCTGTTAATTGAGTGTAAAAATTGAATAAGACGGTAACTAACTGTCGTTCCAGATAACTGTTAACTGAAAGCCGTAGATCACTTGATCAATAAAAAAGTGAAATCATTTCTAGTTTCCATAGGGCGAAATTACGAAAAAGGAAAGTTTTTATTCAGTAAAAATTACAAAATGCCACTTTTAGTGATATCTTCTGATACATTGTGATTAAATGTAACCAAATGGTTAAATTAAGAAGTAAAAAAAAACCTGACAAACTATCTTTAGTGCCTAATCTCCCGTTTTCTTCAGTGGTTTCATTCCACACATTCGCTTATGACGACAATATATTTACTCTGGATTTTCTCTGTCTCAATTCAAAAGTTTTCACATTTTTAAACGATGGCATCTGGGATCTCCATTTAGTGTTTAAGTGTCAAACATACGACATACTCGTATGAAAATTTTAATGGCAATTCCCATATCTTCTTAAAACAAAAAAAATTTCTCCCATATACACCATTTCTGATTCCGGTTCATTAATGTCTGAAGCTGTCCCGCGCGGACTTACCTTGATGCCTTCTAACCAAACAAAAATTTAAATATGTTTATTAATATCACGCAATAGATCAACATAGGTATTTTAAATAACTATATCGACTTAATGCTACTCATAGCCGAAGACTTTTTTGATACTTTTCGCCTAAAACTATTTTTAAAACATTTAGATTTCTAACGGGATTTAAAGGGTTTTTCTTAAATGCTCCAAAAATACGTATGCAATGCGAGGAGTAGCTGTGTAATGGAATTAAGCTCTAACTCTTTAACACAGTTTCGATGGTAAACGTTGTTTCAAATTTTAAATATTTTTGGATGGAAAAATAAAACAAATCATTTCTTCTAACTACCATATGGTGCATACAATTACTCGAATAAATATATTATTAGGTGACATTTAGAAAATTCTTATTAATAAATTTGATCAATTATATACAGTTTAGTTTATAAAAATAAACAACATTATTTTAGCACTAACTAACTAACCAATACTGTTTTATTCAACTTAATTACACAGAAATTGGCGATCCGCCTCATTTCCTCAGGAAATTCATACTTAATAACTGCTGTTCACGTCCCTTTTTGTGAGGCCTTATGACCTACATTTCTTAATAATTCGCGAAGCAATGTTCCGAGTTTAAAATTTTTTGGTAAATCGATAGATATTGACTAGAAGCCCATTCGAAAAGAAGTAGCTACAGTTTTCCGCGGTTTGTTACAGTGGCCGTGGCCTAATGGAAAATAATTCGAGCTGCGGTGGAATCTCTAGAATATGTATGCTGATATTTCAGCAATTTTAGTTTTTCTTAATTTGTGGGGGGGGGAAGGTTAGAGAGGGATGTGCGGTATGCTGAAATAAACTTGCTTTGCATAGGCATCTCAAGAATCTGCATGCATAATCCCAGGTTTGTAATAGGTTTGATAAGAAAACAAGTTATTTGGTTCTTAAAGTAAGACCTAATCATCGTTTAAATAATTAAGTTACCGTGAATCCGGAAAATTATATCTTTGAATAACTTATTCCAATGATTTCAGGGGACACAATATAACCTTTCTAAGTGGTTTTCCAGCCGATTTTACAATAAAAGGTCTGCTAGAGGTAACACCATCCGGACTTGTTGAATATATTCACAACTATACAAATTGGGATCTCTTGGGTTCACGAATGGCTGGAGAAATGCCCATTAAGCCCTGGGATGGTCTGCGATATGCTTTCGAAGTAAGTTTTTAAAGTTATATTCACTATTTACTTTACTTTAAAAAATTTCCCAAAAATATTTGCTATTTTTGATTAAATAAGATTTCACATACTTCTTTATGCTTTTACTCAAAACTAGAGAACATTAAGGAATATTTATTATTTGTCTTTAATCAAAAAAGAGACAAAAAACAAATTTGATGTAAGAGATTTTCATCTCGAGAAGCTTCTTACGGGTGTGGAGATGTCGCGGAACGGATTAGGTCTGTAGATAGTTAGTTAAGCTTAAATTTAGTGCCGCTAGAAATCAGTTTTATTTGTGTGAGGATTTCGAAGATCGTGTAATTCGGTTACTCTAAATCTGGTAATGACGAGCTAAATTTGGCGGACCAAGTTAAATCGGTTTACATCACATTCACACATATTCTTTTTATTATACGTTGTTGGAGAATACCTATCGTCTTATAAAACATTTTTCAAATCTGAAAATTTGTTCATGTTACTAAAAAATTTAGATCTTAAATACTCTAATGGGCTGTAATGTTACCGTATATGCACCATCTGTTAAAAAAAACACTTTATGGTTTTGCCAATAATTGAAATAGTTAGAAAAATTTGACATTGGTGAACAGAGTAAGATCCTTTTGTCTTACCAACCATTTCATATCCGTCACTCGTAGAGCTAAAGGGTTATTGCATTCGTTGTAACAGGTAGAAAGAAGCATATCCGACCATACCACGGGAATAGAAATGGCTAAAACAAGTGGAGGACTCTCCAAGCCGATTGAATTTTAAACCGAAATGCTTTCGCATTAGGCATAAGGATAAAGGATACAAGATGACAAATGAAATTTGCCAACAATCGGCAGGAAGAGACTGCATTCGAAGGAATTCAAAAAATCAAAAACAATATTCTAAGGCATAAATCAAGGCGGACCGATGCGTCCCGCTCCTCCTGCAGTGATTAATGGACGCCCCGGCACTTAGCACGTGCTCCCAGTCAGTTCTGGAAGTCAGCAGTCACTCAGTCAGCTACAAGGACATATTATATTTCAAGCTTAATAATGAAAAAGCGAATATTTATCATCAAAAATGAACTTATTGTTTTTCAAAGTATTCTCCAGAAATACTTATCACTTTTGGAGGCGCTCAAACCAATTGGCGAAGCACCTCTCTAATATTTTCTGAGATTTCAGTGATATTACTTTTTCGTGATTTGTGGGCGTTAGATGTCCCGTGGATGCTGCGCTGCGTATGGACCTCAAGAATCTTCGTGCTTAATCTCAACTTTCTATCTCTTATAGTTCCGGAGATCTCAGTGTTCATACGGACAGACGGACGGACATAGCTCGATCGTCTTCGCTATTGATCCTGACCAAGAATTTATATACTTTATAGGGTCGGAAACGCTTCCTTTTACCTGTTTCATACTTTTTATACTAAAAGACACCACAGGACTTACTTCACCATTCGTGGGTAAATACAAAAAATAACAAACAAAATAAAATAATAAAAACATATAATCAAGTTATATTCTCGAATGTGAAAATTTTTAACTTACACAAGCACATACTGAGAAGAATCTATCAAGAATACGATACACAAAATATAGAAGAAGGTATACAGCCCCGTCTACTGCGCCAATTAAAAAAAAAACAAGAGGAAACGCTATATTCGAGTGCCGCGACTATAAGATACCCGTTACGGTTTTACAAAATTTTAAAATATTAATTTGGCTTGTGGAAATTCAGAAGGCGCCACCTATTGTCAGAGTAAGCATGTTGAGTAATTGATAGTGACGTCACACAGCATGTGAGGCCTTATAACCTAAATTTCTTCATAAATAGCGAAATAATGTTCGAATTAAAAAAATCTTTGGTAAATCGATAGATATTAACAGAAATAAGTTATTTAAGGTCGAACGAAGGCATTCATAATAATATTATAGACGGCACAGTTTTTCGCGGTTTGTGACGTAAGAGTAGGCGTGGCCGGATGAAACCTCAAGTCAAGTTTGGAGCATCATAAAAACCTATATGCTTAATCCGATCTTTCTATCTTTTGTAGTTATCGAGATATCAGTTTTTCAAGAAAATGCAAAAACCGTCTTTTGAGCTTGGTGGGCGTATGGGTGGGCCCAATAATAGTACCACTATAAGATGCACTGGCATCTAAAGATTATACATACTGAATTTCAACTTTCTAGCAATAATAGTTCCTGCGATTTCAGCGATTTTAGGGTCGCTTGCCCTGCGTAGGGACCTCAAGAATCTTCATGGTTAATATCAACTTTGTATCTCTTATAGTTCCTGAGATCTCAGCGTTCATACGGACAGACGGACGGACAGACGGATATGGCTCAATCGACTTCGCTATTGATCCTGATCAAGAATATATATACTTTACATACTTTTGCTTTTACCTGTTACATACTTTTCAACGAATCTAGTATACCCTTTTACTCTACGAGTAACTGGAATAAAGACGAGTTGAAGAAGAAAGTGGGGTAGACAGTCCCGTTTACTGCGCCACCGATTGTGAGCGTGAAGAATGGGAAACACTACAGGATTCTTGCCCACTGTGTCAACGTGGGATGTAATGGATGGTACAACCATACGACAAACGGACAAGCCGATTCCAGACGATGAGTTAGAGACGCAACCGAAGGACGACGACAACAGGACTGTCATGGTCGCCAAGCAATTATTCGAGTGACGAATTGTCGTGTTCCGTTCGACTATATTTTATTGAATGTTCGATATAAATATATTCTTAAAGCTAAGAGCTCGCGCTGCGCTGCCTACAAAAACATCAGCAGAGCGGCAGCAGCGGCTATGTATAATATTTTATATTTTATGCTCACACATTAGCGAGAGCGCGAGAGAGATCCATATGCACATGTTATATATGTGCGTTGTCAAGCTATGAGAAAGTGTCGACAATTGCACTTCCCACGTAACGGGGGCTGTGGCGCGTTTGGACCGATCGTATTTCTGTCGGCCAATTTGTGTTTACGCAAAACACAGTAGCACAATGCTGGCATTGGTACAGTGTGTATTCGAAACGATAATATGTGCATGCTACAAATTCAATTTTTTGTTTTAAGTTCCACAAGCGCTAAACCCAAAGATTTTATATAATCTTTTCCCATTCCTGTTATATTTTAAAGTTTAGAACTGTCTAATTCGGGGTACTCTTGATTACATTGTATAAGTAATGAAATCTCGTTCATATATTTCAAGTGACAAAAGTAATTGGGAAATATTTCACCTACTGTTTTAACACTACACCATCAGTCAGGCATAATTATTGTCCATACGAATAAGTGTTCGGAAGACCAGCTCAAAAATTTATAGATATTTCTAAAATAAATCAAATAGATCCTATATAAAACAAAGATTATGATAAGGAAGTTTAGGTTAGAATCAGCATACAAAGATGTTAATAACTTCGATCTAAAAATTGGAGAACAAGTATTACTTAAAAGTAAGACTGGGCACAAACTAGATAAGAACTTTCTAGAACCTTTTAAGGTCGTTAGTATAAACGATAAAAATAATATAAAAACAAGAGGAAACGCTATAGTCGAGTGCCGCGACTATAAGATACCCGTTACTGTTTTACACAATTTTAAAATATTCATTTTGCTAGGGAAAATTCACAAGCCGCCACCTATTGTCAGAAAAAGTATGTTGAGTAACTGATAGTGACGTCACTGCCCATGTGAGGCCTTATAACTTAAATTTCTTCATAAGCAGCAAAATAATGTTAAGACTTAAAACATCTTGGTAAATCGATAGATATTAACAGAAATAAGTTATTTAAGGTTAAAAGAAGGCATTCATAACAATATTATACAGTTTTCCGCTGTTTGTGGGCGTTAGAGTAGGCGTGGTTTGATCGGAAAAAACATTTCGCATTGGGAGCATCATTAAAACCTACATGCTTATTCCAAACTTTCTATAACTTATTGTTACCAAGATATCAGTTTTTCTAAAAAAAATGCGAAAACCGTCTTTTGAGCTAGGTGGGCGTATGTGTGGGTGTGGCCACTGTAAGATGCGTTAGCATCTAAAGATTATACATACTGAAATTGAACTTTCTAGCTCTACTAGCACTCGACTATAGCGTATAATCTTGTTTTTGTTTTTTGATATGTGTGAGGTAATATTTTTATGTCAATATCCGGTCCGGCAGGTCTTGAGGGTGGTGTCTTAAGTCTTCTTTTGATTCGCTTGCTTGGTTTAGCGCTGTTTATTTCAGCGGTGCCAAGTTCTCTGGCTAGTCTATTGGGTTGCCCATTAGGTCTATCCATGTATTTCTGAGCCAGTTTCTGTAGCTTGTTTCTAATTTTTGGTAATTTGAGATCACGTTCGATGTGTCTGTTACGAATAAACCGCGTATCTACTGTTTTCAATTGCAGAACCCGGATTTTATTGAGGTTGGATTTTGCCGCAATCCCATAAACATGAAGTCCGTAGAAAAGACTTGGAGCCAATATTGACTTGTATATTTTCACCTTACAGCTAAGTGCCAGCTTGTTGCGTTGTGTGAGAAGCCAAGCCATCCGAGATACTTTGGTTCAGTGGGAGTGTTGAACACAAGTAATGTGCCTGCCAAATGTGAGTTTCTTGTCCAAAGTGACACCGAGGTACTTGTATGCAGAAAGTGCTCTGATTGGACTTCCGTTAAGGCTGACTCCACGGCAGCTGCTACGAAGATTGGTGAACGTCACATTGGAACATTTGTCTGCGTGTACGCAAATGTTCTGGTTCATGGCCCATTTGTGAAACATTATCGTAAGTAAGTATCCTGTGCAGAATCAGCCTTGCCATGATTTTTCTCAGAGATGACAGAATACTTATAGACCTGAATGAATCTACGTCAGTCGGCGATTTTCCAGGTTTTGGGATTATAAATATATTCGCCGATTTCCAAGTATGCAACAGTTAGTACGCTGTTGAATATCGACACCAGAAACTGCAAGGCTTGATCCTGAAATAGTTGTCCAGAAGTTCTTT